AACCCGAGCAGGCCGGCTTCATCGTCCGGGTGGCACGACGCTGCCGTGGCTACAAGGCAGAGAGAGGAGAGGACAGTAAGAGAGAGCAAAAGAGCAGTGGGAGGATGCATTATTGTTAAGCTATTATGGGATGTGATTTGTGGAAGTTTTAATTTGGTTATTTATGGACAAAATTTAGGCAAATTGGGCGGCTGGAGTGAGCTGTTCTTTTGGTGGTAGACAGCAAGATGGGATTATGGATGAAGTGGGAATGAACTGCAGAAGAGGAGACGTTTTACACTTTTGCAGCCATTGCTAAAATTGTTATTTATTATTATTATTATTTGGATTTGGATATGGTTAAAAATTTAGAAGATCAGAGAAGTTATTGTAGTCAACTTTCTATTCCTCTGACAAGAACTAGAAGGCGTGCACAATTGACTGCTCGCCTACATGTCTGATTTTGACTTTTATTGAGCCCATGGATTTGAATCCATCATCTCATACTGTACAATTATTAGATTTAAAAGTTTATAGTACTGTATGAAATGACTTTGATCAATTTAAATAAATGAATGTGATTAATCAATATTTTTTTAAAAATTAAAGAATATATTTCTTGTATAAGGGAGATGATATTTACAGTTTATAAATTTGTTAATGGATTTAATTAGTAAAATTATAGAAGTCAATATAATAATGTGACGATTATCTGTCGATAATTAAACTTGATATTATAGTAATTAGTTAGGAGTCCTAACTAATTTTAAGAATTAAAAAGGGTTAATTACTAGCTCCATTGAACAAAATAACAGGAAAAAAGAATGATCAAGTGTGGTAGAAAAGATGAGATATAATTTTGTTAACGCCAATGATATGTGACTGTGTGATGTGGAACAGTTGATTAATTATAGAGAGATGGGACAACCCTAATCAAATTAGTTAATCTAGTGGCTTGATAATCACAAAGTTACAAATTTGATCTCAGTCGAAGTGATTTATTAGACTTCTTGGTTTGAGTCGGTCAACTATAGCAACTTAACCTTATTAAAGCACTGAGACCAGGCAGATCAGCGCCAAACCACTGCGCCACAACCCCTTTTATAGCAACTTAACCTGATTTACCTCTTTGTGCGTGGTCCTTTGATAACGAATTGTTGGTTAGGATCACAATGTGAAATTTATCCAATATACAATAATAATGATTGCAATCAGGTTTCCCTTGTCACTCAAAAAAAAAAAAAAAAAAAAAAAAAAAAAAAAAAAAAAAAAAAAGCTTTACATTGCAACTAGTAGCTAGTGGAGACTTGTTTTAGGTGGTCACAACTAATGAGTACATAAACATGCTCATTACATAGACTTATTTGTATCATCTAAAGTATTTACTACATCAACTCTCTCTCTCTCTCCCCACACACACACATTATGAATAAATATAAAATATTTATTTTTGTTTTATTTTGGATGAAGGGGAGGCGGCCATGGCATCATATTTTTTTTAAAAAAAATTAATTTTCCTTTTATTTTTTAAAAATATTAATAAAAATATTTTTTATAAATAATTTGATATTATGACATCATATTTAAGGAAAACTTTAAAGTAATCTGTCAAAAATATTATTTTTATAATTTTTGAACTTTTAATGATCTAATTATATACTTTTGTGTTCGATAATTCAATTACATAATATATAAAAGTTAAACTATCTATTTGACATTTTTTCTTAATATTTTTCTAAAATCCATTTTCCAAGGAATTAGTTGGGGATATATATGAAGGGGTAGAGTAGATGCTTTCCAGCTAATGCTTTAATTTTTAATTTAAAGGTAGGGGTGAGTTTTCATCTCTAGAAGAGGAAATCAATCTTGGGATTGGGATGGCTTTCTACAAAGTACAAACCCCGTGAAAATGCGGCTCCTTGTCATCTAATCAATATAATATATTAGAATGAGAATTATTACTGAAAATATAATAAATAAAAAATGTAAAAAAAAAAAAAACAAAAAACAAAAACAAAAACAAAGAGAGAGGGGTATTTGAATCATTTGATTGAAAGGTTTAAAATAATTTATTATCACAAACCAAAAAAAAAAACTTTAATTAGAATCTTAAATTTAAAAAAAAAAAATACAATCACACTATTTTGTAAGTTACCTTCAAGTAAAAGGTAAATAATTAAAAATTAGATTTTGTAAAGAATTTACATATTTTTAAAAATGATATATATATATATATATATATATATATATATATATATATATATATATATATATATATATATATAGAGAGAGAGAGAGAGAAAGGTTTCCGTGCGGTGAATGCTTCTCGTGCGGATGTGCGGTGGATTAATGTGCGTAAGATTTGTATTCAATGTGCGTGAGTGTTGTGCTTAATGTGCCTGAGATTTGTACTTAATGTGCGTGAATGTGTAAAATGCAGCAGAAAATATTGATGTCAGCTTCTTCCCCATTCCCAGTAGCCATTTGCCCCCTCCCTGATGATGATGATGCGGATGTGAGCTATGGTGGTTAAAAATTATGGGAATAATACAACAGAAATTCACACTTAGCTGCTGTGCAAATTTTACTGTGCGTGCGTCATTTATATAAACAGTCAACTGCTCTGAAGGTAGCTGATAATCCAGAATCCATGGCCAAATTGAAGGAAGAAGTAACAAGAAGCTTGGGCGTTAATGTGCGTGAGTTTATGTTCTGCTTCATTCTGAGCTCGTAATTCTGAAATACACACGCACATTAAGCACAAATCTCACGCACATTAAACACAATACTCAGGCACATTAAGTACAAAACTCACGCATATTAACATGACGCACATTGAGTACAAATCTCAAGCACATTGAGTACAAATCTCACGCACATTAAGTATAAACCTCACGCACATTAATCTACCGCATATCCGCACGAAAAGCAACAAATGCACCTGATACCTTCCCTATATATATATATATATATATATAGTCCCATACGATGCACAGATACGTATTATAACTATTGTTTTAATACTATAGTTAATAAATCATTAGACAATTAAATTGTAGTTGTTTATGGTAAAAGACATTTAAGTACTTTAACTAATTACATGATTTCACTAAATATTGGAATGAACTTAATTTTGTATAAAATATGACTTATAAAATAGAATGTTACACTATTGAACACTTCATGGTACACTACGTTAGTAGTTGAAGTACTAACATTTTTAAGGTCATTACATATTAATATTTTCAACTTATTTGGATTGCTCACTCGGGAAGCTGCAACATACAATTGGCCATAAAGAAATACTAGTTTCTTTAAAAGTAACCCAACATGTGTACGTGTTTGACCTTTACTCTTGTTAATTGTCATTGCATATGACAACATTAAAGGGAATTGTCTCTTTGGAATTTGAATGGCAACCTCAGATCTGATGGTGTCATAGTCATCCTGGGGACCAATACTTTAGTTCCTGCATTGCTACCAGACATGATTTGTCCTTAAATCACGTGGTCTGCCAATCTGGTAATTACCAGTCTAGTTCCATTGCATAACCTAAGGGAATGGTCTATGTTTCTCAATAACATCATCGGAGACCCAATTTTTAAGGTCATTGAATGGTTCAGGACACCTCACGCCCTTATACCATTTAAGAACTCTGGTGTGTGCACATCATCGAGCAGACTGCTGTTTGACTCTGATCTACATACCGAGTCACAACTATAGTATGTTTTGCTAACCCCAGTATGCAAATCACTCATGTATTCATTGATGGAATTAACCACGTCAAGTGTTGGGGGCTAGAATTGCTCGACCTTCAAGAAGGCTAGAATCTACATTCGCACTCATGAACATAAATAACGTACTTTCAACTATAGTGGTGATCGGGTTTCCATAGAACGGCAGTAACCTATCATGCGGTATTACTATCTCAGCATTACCATCACTATGACCGTTGACAAATCCGTCACCTATACTTGCGATCCAATTTGCAAATTCCTCAAGTTGTTTGATGTCTACACCAAGATCAACTCTATTTAAACGAAGGTTTTTTGTTAATTGTAACACTTTACAACTGTGCCACAAGGACGATGAATTGATGGCTGCATATACGATATCTTGCCTTGTACCTTTTGTAAAGATGATTTGGCAGACTGACATAGCATCTACATATTTTTAAAAATGACACACACACACACACACACACACATCTTGTTTCTTTACTGTTTTCCAGACGAACACGAGTACATAGATGTGATGTCCGATCAAAATTGCAAATCAGAACCATTTATCATTGACATTGACTTCCAGAGCCACTTTGAAATTGCAAGGGCTGTTAAATCCTACGCCATAGCTTTGGATTCTCTTTCGGCAGTGCTCAAGCGGTTTCTCAGCACCATGGTGGAAGTTGTTAACTATTTTATTTTTTACCTTTAATTTGACAATAATATCTTTAAATTTAACACTCACTTAACAGAAAGACTAACAGAGGACTATTTGTGGTCAAAAATGAAAGTCGAAGTATGTGTTTTGGTCGAATTAAAAGTCGAGGACTAAAATGAGTACTATCCCAATAGTCAGAGGACCATTTGTGGCATTAACTCAAGTTTATTTACCTTATATCAAAACATATTCAGATTAAATCTTACTCTTCCTTAATCAAGGTGTTTGCAAAATAAACAAGCTACGCACAAATATGAACACGCGGAAGATTTTTTTTTTTTTTTTTAAAGGTGCAATATTTTTAAAGAATGTTGGGCATTCTTTCCTTCATACATAAGTAATATGGCTGAAGATAGCCATTTTTCCCCCTTGCTATTGTTGATAGGAAAAAATGGAGAAGAACAAAACTTAGCTACAACTTTTTTAAAAAGGCCAAAATTCTTAATTGCAAAAAAGTGATATATTTTATTATAGACAAAACATATATAATACTCCGATTTATAATTCACAAGATAATATGAAATGATGATGTTTTATTGTTATCATGCCAGGCCACATTTCTCTATTGCCGTGCACTATTATTCAACAAAAAAATCATGCATAACTGCATAAACGCTCAAGCCTTGCATGGCGGCAATGGAGAACCACAGAGACAAGCATTTCCGGCAAACACGCCTGCCGGAAATTTTGTCGCCGGAAGCCGACCGCACAGGCGGTTATGACTAAGATTCAACTTCTGAAGCACCGCAACAGTTTCAGGAACTTTCCCAAACACTCTATTCCTAGACAAATCCAACTCCTTCAATTCCTTCACATTAAACCTCAAATCCTCCAAATCAAACGCCAGCCTGTTCCCCGACGCATAAAACCCTCTCAAATTTTCCGTCCGGTTAAACAACCCCACCGGACTCCCCGTTATCTCGTTCTCCGACAGATCGATATACAGGTAAAATAGATACTCCTTTGGCTTCCAATCGTCAAGCTTAATCTTGACGCCACATCTGGCTAGCCTCAGAGAAAACATGTTGGGAGATGCCGTCACGAAATCGGGAATCTCTCCGAGATGGAACTTGTTGTACGATAAGTCCAGTGTCTGGGCGCGTTCCACGTTCATTGTCGGGAACGGGTCGACCAGGAAGTTGTGGGAGAGGTCGAGGACGAACAGAGCCGTCAAATTCAGGAACGATTTTGGTACCGCGCCGGAGAAATGGTTCCAGGAGAGATCTAGGGTTTCTAGGGCATGGAAATTCCCGATGAAATCGGGGATTTTCCCTCTTAATTTGTTGTGCCCTAGCTCGAGGAATTGGAGTGTGGGCGATAGAGCTGAAATGCTGCGAGGGATTTCGCCGGAGAATTTATTGTGTGAAAGGCGGATAGTGGTGAATTCCGGCAAGGCGGCGAGGTAGTCCGGTATGGAGCCGGAGAGTTTGTTCTTCATCAGGCTCAGAGTATTAAGTTTCTTCAACTGAGTTATGCTTTCCGGTATGCCGCCGGTGAGGCGGTTGCCGTCCAGTCTGAGCTCAGTGAGTTGACTCAGGTTGCCTATCGAACTCGGAATCGAACCGGAGAACCGGTTCCCCTCCAAACTCAGTGAACTAAGCCGGGCGAGTTCACCGATATTTTCCGGTATTTTACCCGACAACTTGCACCCGACGAAGAAAACGGTTTGGATATCCGGCAAGTGAAACAGAAAATCCGGAAACAGGCCGGATAAACCTCCGAGATGCTGGAACAAGATGGTGTCGAGAAACCTGAGCTTCGAGAGAGACGGAGATATAGTGCCCGACAGTGTGGGTTTGACGTCGGATTCTCCGAGGAAACTCAGCATCGTGACCCGTCCGTCGCTCCGGCACTGCACACCCGACCACTGGCAGCAGTCGATGCCGGGTTTCCATGAAGAAAGAAGCCCGGACGGGTCTCGGGTTATGCCCGACTTGAATGCCAGCAACCCGGATTCGTCGTCAACGTGGCATGCTGTGGCAGCGAGGAACAACGAGGTAAGAAGAGTTATGAAGAGAAGAAGATTATGAGATGTCATTTTCTAGTGAATGAAGATGAAGAAAGCAATATAGGTATACATTTATAGAAAGACAGATTATGCATGGGGCTATATAATAATACTATGCATTCTTATTTGGATATGACTAGAAATGATACATATTTTTTTATATATAAATTTTCCATTCCACATTTCCACCAGACAGAAAATCATCGCAACGGTAGCAGTCAGCAAAAACGGCTGTATGACTTAGATATCATCTCTATTTATTTATTGAGTCAATATCTAAAATAATACTATTGGACCACAAAGTCCTTAATATAAATCCTACAATTAATATAAAAAATAAAAAACATATAATTAAAGTGCAAATCAACAAGTTTTGAACCCTTTATGTCTTGAAACAATAAAATGCATGCTTATCATTTAATCGCTGGATTTGCCCATGAAGGCACTAGGAGAATCACAAATCCCTTTGCATATTGGTTGGACTTGGGAGGTTTGGCAAACATTATATCATGGAACATGATCAAAGATGATCATTGATATAAGGTTCATTAGTAGTATATTGAATATTCATTTTTAGTATATTAAATATTTATTTTTTGAAGGTATACTTTTTGTGTACTAAATGTTCATTTTTAGATATATGGGGGTATGGGGTTTAGGCGTGTGAGAGATATGAATCTAGCCATGTTGGGAAAACAAGGATGGAAATTTTTAAGTAACCCAGAAGCTCTAGTGACACGGGTGTTCAAGGCTCGTTACTTCCCAAAGTGCTCTTTCATTGATGCGGGGAAAGGATCAAATCCGTCCTTCGTATGGTCTAGTATTAGGGAATCTCAAGGCTTGTTACGAAAGGGTACACGTTGGAGGATAGGAGACGGTAATACGGTGAAAGTATGGGGTGATCCTTGGCTCCCAAATTCCCAAAACCCTTTTGTCATGACCACTGAAATGGCTTATTTCAATGCCCCTACTGTTAGCTCTCTGTTATGTGTTGATGAAAAGCGTTGGGATACTGAACTGATAAGGGACATTTTTTATCAACGTGATGCCCAATTAATCTTGAATTTGCCACTGTCTTATGCTTATACCCCAGATATGATGTATTGGGAAGGGGAGAGCAATGGGATATACTCTGTAAGAAGTGCCTATAAGCTAGAATTTGGAAATCTGGAACAGGACTGTCAGTGGCCATGGACTGTTGTTTGGAACTTCGACATACCACAAAAAATTAAATGTTTCTTTTGGACCATGTGTAAGCTAAAGTTACCAACTAAAGATGCGTTGCTTGTTAAACAGGTAGCTTGCAACCCTATATGCCCTCTGTGTGGAGATATGGCAGAGACAGCGGTTCATCTCTTCGCGGAATGTAGTTTTGCCCATCTATGCTGGCAAGAACTGGAAACTGGATGGCCTATGGAATCGGCTAGATCGATTCCGCTATGGATTGAGAAGATTTGGAAAGCTTTACCGACTAATATGGTTGAAAAGGTGGTGATTATTTGCTGGGCTATATGGGAGAATCGCAACCAAATGGTTTGGAAAGCACAAGGCATGGATCCTAGAACTATGGTGCGTATTGCTCTAGCTTATGTGACTGACTGGAAATCTGCCCAACAGGGTTATTCTACTGCTATGGTGAATCCTACCCCCATTCAAACGCCGAGTACCACTTGGTCCCCTCCCTTGTCAGATTACTGTAAATTGAATATTGATGTTGCAATGGACTTTGGACGGAGCAGGATGGGGTTTGGTTGGATTTTACGTGACTCGGAGGGCATTGTAAAGGGGGCAGCAATGTCTATGATGGTAGGCATATATTCGGTCAAGGAGGCTGAAGCTATTGGAGCTCGTGAAGCTTTGAGTTGGATCAAAAAGAAAGGGTGGTCTCATGTTATTTTAGAGACCGACGCCGAAGTAGTGACGAAAGCCGTGCATGAAAGACAGAATCATACCCCTTTTGGAGCTATTATGAATGACATTCGCACACTGCTGCTGCTTCTTCCATATGTTAGCTTTATTTTTGCAAAGAGAGATGCAAACCTTCCAGCCCACTTTCTTGCAAAGTTTGCTTTATGTAATTCTGTAGAGGGGGTGATTGAATTCTTAGACTCTATTCCTTTTTGTATTTCCCCCCATGTCTCTGCTGACTTTTCTGGTTTAATCAATTAAAATCTCGTTCTTTTGTTTTCAAAAAAAGATATATTGTCAAAAAATAAACTTTCAGTTGGTCCCAAAAGTAGTAGAAGAGATAAAAATCTAGAGGGGGGGGGGGGGGTAAAAGAGAGTGAATAGACTTTAATTAATTTTAAGTTTCTATCCTAGATAGAATTTTCTAAAATCAAGAGTGTAATCAGCTTGAGAGTTGAATACATGCACTGTGAAATTTTTAAGTTAACATAGCATTGTTTTTTGGGCGTAAAAGTTTGAAGGCGTTTAGTGTGTGATCGACTGATTTCACACGCTTCTTATGTGTATTTCTCTTCGTATCTTTCTTTGAGCTTAGAAGTCCTATATTTATAGGATAGATGTATGGGGCAGGTTGGTAAAACAACCTTAATTCGAATCTGCCCATTGCACCCCAATTTGACAAGTGTCGATGTTGCAAAAAAATTCCATGATGATGTTGCTGTACGTCATTGTCTTCTTGTGTAAGAACTTTTTCCTACTCTAGTATGTGATTTGTTAATTCAAAAAGAACGTGTTGCATTTTGGTCTTTACTTCATCCATGGCTAAGTAATGTCTAGATGTCATCAAGATCCTTTATCTTAATCCATGTTTAGAACTTGGATGAAGGTGAATCCTTATTTCTTGCTGGTTGTCTGCTGGTAGCTTTCATCTTATCTGATGTGCAAGGTTTGTTGATTGGAATTGTTTGTTGGTAGCCTTCACCTTATCTGAGGTGCAAGGTTTGCTGATTGTTTGTTGATAGCCTTCAACTTATTTGCTGCGCAAGGTCTGCTGATAGCCTTCAACTTATATGTTGTGCTACTCAGATATGTTGTTACACTAGTCTGCTGCTAGATCTTCAAGACGTCTCTGGTAGATCTTCAAAATTTCTCAGCTTGTCTCAAAACTTCTCTACTGGTCATATTACTTCAGCCCTTAAGTTGAAAACTATAAGTTGGAACTCTGCTGGTTTCTCTACTTCTTGTTTTGGTCTATTTCTCGTCCTTCGGTTGGTTTGCCTTTGTATTCTTCCGTTGGTTTAACTCAGGTAGGGATCAACTGGTTTCTTCAAAGAAATGGCTAGGTCCTTCAACCGGGTTAGCAGGAATAACTTTAGGACGAGTTAACATGAATAACTTTTACACAGGAGATGGGGTTTTTCCAGTCCTAATGAGGACTTCGATCTAAAGACATCATCAAAATCTAAGTTTAGATACACTCAAAGCTAACACTTTCAGTACATTAAAATGAGCATTTAGTATACTAAAAATGAACATTTATATGTGGTCCACATTGTAATGTTGTCCATGATCCATAGTATATTTTACCGGAGGGCTTAACGCAAATTATGCTGTGGAAACGTGTTCACCATGCACATGGTGAACACAGGGGTAGATCCATAATTTCTATGTTCACCATTCGCACTTGCATTATTTCGTCTTCACAGTACAGATATTATGAATCTACAGTACAGAAATTATGAATCTACAGTATAGAAATTATGAATTTACAGTATAGAATTTATGAATCTACAGTATAGAAATTATGAATCTACAGTACAGAAATTATGAATTTATAGTATAGAAATTATGAATCTACAGTATAGATGTTATGAATTTACAGTATAAAAATTATTAATTTGCAGCTTAGAAATTATGGATCTATTCCATGTTCACCATGCGCATGGTGAATATGGTTCCAGATCATTACTATTGAGGGCTTAGTGGAAAGGCTTGATCTCAATAACATGAAAATCCATCAAAGAGATCATATACAAAGCTATGAGGAAACAAAAAAAGATTTCATTCATATATGGCTCCAAGAATGGGATTAATGGCTAGCAGAATCTCGAAACTTTATCTAAGCCTTAAATCTCCAAATGTATATGTGGGGCTTTGTTTAACTTCGACTTGGATTTGGCCTTGTTGTTCCCTTCAAATTGAGATTTGGGCCTGATCTCTATTTTCATCCACATCATATATTGTAAAACAGACTAACAGTCAAGTTATGGCAAGTTATGCTGTAGAAGGTTCACAAGGTTCTAAAACGGTTTATAATTATAAATATATAATTCAAAAATTATGAACATATAATTCTATAATTATGAACATAGAGTTGTGAACATAATAATGAACATATAGTTCTGTAATTATGAATATAGAGATTCAATAATTGTGAATATGAAGTTCAAAAATTATGAATATATAGCTTTATAATTATGAACATATAGTTCAGTAATTATGAACATAGAGTTCTGTAATTGTGAATATAGAGTTCAATAATTATGAAATGAAATTCAAAAATTATGAATATATAACTTTATAATTATGAACATGTAGTTAAGTAATTATGAACATAGAACCGTGTCCACCTTGCAAGGTGGACACAGTTCCACAACATAACGATTGTTGATGGGGTGTGGACGCCGGCCCAAGAAGAATTGGGAAGCCCAAAGAGAATAAGGTGTAGCCCAAGGGAAAGAGCAGAGGCCCAAAAAAGTAGTAAAGCCCGAAAGGAACCCAGACCGAGTCAAGGAGTCAGGCCGACCCCGAGGTCGGAACAAGGACTCGGTCGGCAAAAGTGACAAAGAGCCGTTGGAAGGCATTTAAGGAGGTATTGAAGAGCCCGGTCAAAGAGCCGTTGGGAGGCACAGTAATGGCAGCCCAACGGCCTTCCGACATAATTAGCAATCAAGACCCTTTAAAAATGTATTTTAAGTCCGAATTAAAGGAGGGCCTACTATATAAAGGCCCCTCCCAAAATGTAAAATGGCGAGTTCATGCCTAAGGGATAGAGAGACATATTTACCCAAATTGCTTACTCCTTTTTGTTTTAATAGCTTTATTGAAAGGTGTATCCACCAACCAAGGTTGTGTTGGACCTCCTTGGACCCAAAAACTCTAAAACCAACAATTGTCAAATTATATTATGGACCAGTTTTATAAAAATAATGTTCTATGTTTATTTAAAAAAAAACATTAGGTTCATAAAAATAATTCTGCAGCTTATAAAATGGCATCAATTGATCAAAATCACTTAAATATGTTACTCTGTATTTCTTTTTTAATAAATAATTTCAATATATAAAAATATATCTCATTGAGATCTTTTAAATTTCATACATCTAAAAATCTAAAAACATAATAAGTGTCAATACAAGTTATGTCCTTGATTTTTGTCCCTTTTTTATATGCTAATAAATATATACATTTTGCTTTAGTTGTTGTACATTCATTTGCATTGGACAAAATCACCCTTACACCGTTATAACACCGTTAGTTTTTAATATATCTACCAATCTTACCATACACCTACATCTATCATATCTTTTTCCTATTTTTAATTATCATTTATTTAAAATTATCATATAACAATTAATTTAATTATAAAATATATTTTAATTAAATATTTATATGAATGTTAAATTTTATATATATATATATATATATATATATATATATATATATATATATATATATATATATATATATATATATATATATATATATATATATATATATATATATATATAATATGTATGTATATTATTTGTGTATCCATATCAATATATTATATATGTGAGTGTTAGCTTAGTATTATTTCTAAATTATTATTATATAAAAATATAATTTTTTTTTTTTATTTTGATCACTATATTATTCAAATATATGATAATTTTAAAGTATCATCACTTTAAAAAATTGCAAAAACATAATTTTAACTAATTTTTTAAATTTTGTTACTTACAAATATTTTAATATTGGACATAAATTTTTGCGAGCATACAAAATGCTAGTATTAATATATTTTTCAATATATCTTTTCAATCATTGCATGATGAACCCGCAATAATGAATTTATGAACCTTTAGTAGTATTAATTTTATAAAACTACAGTAGTTAGTTTATGAATACAATGATAACTTTATAAAAACTTTATGAATTTGTAGTAGTTATTTTATACTTACAATTGTGACTTTATGAACTTAGGGTATGTTTGCGCATATGAGAATCAGAATCGGATTGAGAATCAAATACTTGGTAATGATAATAGATTTTGGTGAAAGTATTTTGCATGGTTGGTAGTAGGGGGAATTGGAATGATTACCAATATTGTTGTTTGGTTATGTATGATCCTATAGTGGGAATAAAGGTTTTAAAAATACAAGAACAAAAAAATCAAGACAATTTATTCTAATATAAAGACATCCAAAGAACCAATACGAACAAAAAAATAAAAACTAAAATCTAAAATCGCTAATCCAAACTTAAAAATCAAATTACCAATTAGGAGAGAAATAATGAAATGAAACCCGGCCTTATTTTATTAGGAAATTGGTTTTCTAATTAAGGGGATAATCTAATCCCATAGTAGTGTTCTAGAAACCTGACAAACAAACAATAACAATTGATACGGTTAATTCTTGTGTATGAGTGTATCCGTATGTATGAGCACTAATCTATGTATGAACAATGATGTAGAGCAAAGAAAGTAGTTCAAAGGGGTCTTTTATTCATAATTGTGTTCTTGTGTTTTTTTAGAGAGAGTAGAGAGTGAAGTGTGAGTATAGAGAGAGGGTGTAGTGGAGGAGAATGAGGGAAGAACCCCTAAAATGGTGGGTCAATGGCCCCTATGTGGGCACAAAGGTTGACTGCAAACTTTGACCCCAATCCAAATAGGAGCACGGAGCGTACGGGGAGTTTAAACTCGGAGTATATTCCCCATCAACAATGACTTTAATTCTCATTGTTGATAGCTAAACTCATGAACCAAACACACCCTTATTGTAGTGTAGTAACGCTATAATGAAGCTATATTGCCTTTATGTACTTGAGATTCATTTTTAAATGGAAAAGAATATTAATATGTATGTTATTTAAAAGATGTTGATAAGAGATTTTAATGATTTTTTAATACATGTAATTTGTATAAAAAAAAATAGAAAATTAAAATTAAGTTGAAAAAAATATGAATGACTTGGATTCATGATATTACATGTAGGAAAGTGTACAACTTGTGAGGAAAAGTATAATACATATTAGAAACTCGACTAGAGAATTTTTGCCTAAATGTTGCTACGAAATTATCGACTTTATTTTTTTAAAAAAATAATTTTTGACAATATGACTATTTCTATTTATTTATATTTTACCAGCCAAATCCAATTAGAAAGAAATATAATTCAAAATTAATTTAAAATGCGACTATGTAATTGTTACGTAAATACGTAGGAAGCTTATCCTTTGACTGGATTAGACAAGAAAGGGATATGAGAGCATGTAAGTACTTTATGTATTTTGCGTTTGTACAATGATGATATAAACCTCTATGAAATCTTCAAGATCTAATAGAATACTATGAAAGAGCTTGTACGGACTTTGTTTAATAGTTTAATAGGAAGTATTTAGAGGAAGAATACTATCAAAAGAAATACAATCAAATTAGAATATAATACTTAACATATGAAGTCATAATATTCCACCTCAAACTTATGGAGGGCGGGCAAATATAAGAAGCTTGTTATGTAGTAGCCGAAACTTGGATGACATCAAAGTTTTTGCGAAGATATCCGCAATTTGATCTTTAGTTGAGAAGAAGTGAACCTGTAACTGTATTGAGGCAATTTTGTGAGTTGTATCGAACAAAGTGATGGTCAATTTTAACATGCTTTGTCCAAGCATGAAAGATCTATTTAGCACATAAACAGGTGGCTCCCAAGTTGTCATACCATAGCTTAGGTGGAGACCGGAGATGTTGTAGGAATAGCTAACTCACGCGGAAGAGAAACAAACTAAGTGACTTAGTCATTGTTATTGTTTGGTTGACTAGTTTCTAGAGCACTACTATGGGATTTGAGGCAAATTATGTTGTGCAATCATGTGTACCATGCATGTTGCACACGGGTCTAGATTTATAATTTCTATAATGTAGATTCATAAAATCTATACTGTAGATTCATAATTTTATAAATATATGTTCATAATTATAGAGCTATATGTTCATAATTTTCGATGTTCGTATTCCCAATTGTTGAACTCTGTATTCACAAATCACATAACTATATGTTTATAATTTGATAACTATACAGTTTAGAAATTATGAATCTACAGTACAGAAATTATGAATTTACAGTACAGATATTATGAATCTGCAGTATAGAAATTATGAATCTATTGTATAGAAATTATGAATCTATTGTATTGAAATTATGAATCTACGATTTAGAAAGAGTTTTTTTACACTTTGGTCCCACGAGTATTGTGTCACTAGCAATGTTGATCCACTACTTTCACGACTTGCATAAATGATCCACGACTTTCATTTTTTTAGCGTAAATGGTCCTTCTGGTTAACTGTCCGTCCATTTTTCACCGGAATAAATATTTTTCTCTTAATGGCAAGGGTAAAATGGTCCTTTCCTTTACCACTAATATTTCTGCCATCTTTATCTTCTTCATTTTTCTCGATCAACCAATGTTCTACTCGATCTTCATCTTCTTCCTCGCGGTCTTCCTTTATTATTATTATTATTATTATTTTTACGTCTTCATCGTTAATCTTAGACTATAATCAACAAATCCTTGCGTCTGGCAGCCACATGATCCATGGAGTGTTGAGTTTCTAAAGTTTGAATGAGCTAAGTAGTAGCCTGGAAAATCTCTTGACAGATAGATGCTGAATATGACTAAAATGATGCAAATGTTGTACTTAGAACGAATCTCAATTTTCTCACAGATTCAACCAATAAAAATAGTCGTGATAAAGAAATCTATGCTTAATACAATCGCAATATAATGCACTTTCTCTCTGATGCTATAATTCATTTAATTAAACTTTGATTAAGATTTTTAACATCTGACTGCACTTCCTGCGACTTCTATTTAGCTTTCTCGATGATGCTCTTGTGGATGATAGATGATGCGTGTTATTCTTATACTTTTGGTTGCCTTTCACTACTTGCTTACCCAACTACATACTAGAGCAATGTGTCAAGAGAATCACACAATAAACATAGACGACTTCACGCTTGAAGAAAAGCTAGCTTATGAAGTTCTGAGTGAGATAAGAGCAAGTAGGACTACCCAGTGGTGGATTCTGTGAAAGAAAAGAGAATTGGCCTGGGAATATCATGAACGCTCTAGATTCTGATGATATTAAACTGGTTAAATTACTTCTAGAGGAATCAAACATCACACTGGATTTGTGCCTTGCACTTTGCAGCAGCCTACGATACTGTACTCCTAAAATTAATTTGTCAATGAAGTCTCGGCTTTGCCCTGGTTGATCGCAATCGTCGTAATGTACAAGGATACACTGTACTGCGTTTCATGTGGCTGCCAGGCTGCCAGACTAGAAAATTAACGATGAAGATGAAAAAAAAAAAAAAAAAAGCGAAGACCACAAGGAAGAAGATGAAGATCGTGAAGAACAATTGTTGAGAAAAAAAATGATGGAGATAAAGATGAGAGAAATAGCGGTGATAAAGAAAAAGACAATTTTACCCCTACTATAAAGATCAAAATATTTGTTCCGGTGAAAAACGGACGGACAGTTAACCGGAAGGACCATTTATGCTAAGAAAATGAAAGTCGTGGACCATTTATGCAAGTCTTAAAAGTAGTGGATCAACATTACTAGTGACACAATACTTGTGGGACCAAAAGTGTAAAAAACTCGTATTTAGAAATTATGAATCTACAGTATAGAGTTTATGAATCTACAATATAAAAATGAATATAGACCCGCGTGCACCATGCATGGTGTACACGGTTGCACAACATAACAATCCGGGATTTGATTACCCCCTTTTTTAGAAAACTCATTTCCTAATAAAATAATGGTTTCATTCCATTTTTTCCCTTCCTAATTGGTAATTTGATTTTTAAGTTTGGATTAATACTTTTAGATTTTTGTTTTTATTTATTTATTTTTGTTCATATTGATGCTTTGGGTGTGTTTATATTAGAATAAATTATCTTGATTTTTTGTTCTTGTATTTTTAAACTCTTTATTCTTTTTTTTTTTTGGTGTAAACCACACCCAGTTCGCTCCGAGAGGCACAGAAGCAGGCCCAAAGGGAATCGTCACTTGTGGGAATCAAACCCGAACCACACCCAGTTCGCTCCAAGAGGCACAGAAGCTGGCCCAAAGGGAATCGTCACTTGTGGGAATCAAACCCAGGTTATCCCAAAATTCTTCCACCCTGTTCGCTCCGAGAGGCACAGAAGCTGGCCCAAAGGGAATCGTCACCCGGTTCGCACAAAAGCTGGCCCAAAAGGAACTGTCACTTATGAGAATCAAACCCGGGTTATCCCAAAATTCTCCCCCACAAAGGGAACTCAGTTGCCACTTGAGCTACCTTGTTAGGTTTAAAACTTTTTATTCTCATTATAAGATCATACATAACCAAACAGCAATATTGGTAATCATCAAATTCCACCCTACTACCAAACATGCAAAATACTTTCTCCAAAACCCGTTACCATTACCAAGTATTTAATTCTCATTTCAATTCTGATTTCCATGTGCGAACAAAACACACCCTTAATCTTTTCAGTGATTATATTCAAACATATGTACCTGCTAATGTAACTGTGACAAGTTCAACTCGCCCATTCTGAGCATGTGTATGTCGACATGACTATCTGTGTGAATAATCCCAACCCTGTCCTATTAAATATTGGAATAAGGTTCAAATTGGCCACTGAACGTAACCTGAAAATGCAATTAGGCCACTGAACGAAAAAAAAGTGCAATTAGGTCACTGAACACTCCAAAAATGTGCAATTTCACCTGATAGCAGGTTACCCTCAATTTTAGCAGGTTATCTGCTTACGTGGCAGCTGCGTTGGCATTTTTAATAAATTTTAAATAATTTTTAATAAATTTTAATAATAAATTTTTATTTAAAAAAAATTAAAAAAAATAAAAACGACTTTATTTTATTTTTTACTTAATTTTTTTTCAATTTTTTTATAAAATTTATTATTAAAATTAATTATTAAAAATTATTTAAAAATTATTAAAAATGCCAACTCAGCTGCCACGTAAGCAAGTAACCTGCTAAAATTGATGGTAACCTGCTATCCGGTGAAATTGCATACGTTTGGAGAGTTCAGTGACCTAATTGCACGTTTTTGGAGTGTTCAGTGGCCTAATTGCACTTTCTTTTTCGTTCAGTGGCCTAATTGCATTTTTAGGTTACGTTCAGTGGCCAATTTGAACCTTATTCCTTAAATATTTAAATACAATATACAATTACAACACGATATTATAAGACATCATCGAAATTTTCTTCATGTGTGCACGACGTAGTGAGTTCCCCGCTCATGTTCTCATTAGAAAGAATTATTTACTCAAAATTTTAAATACAAAGTTTGTATACAAACTTACACTTATGTGACTTAATAACTTTTAAATATTTATTGGTTAGATACTTAGATGTAAATTGGTGGATTTCATTAACAGTTAATCAAATAAAATCATTTGTATATGTCTAAAATTATACACAAAAAATTGTGTGCATCTAACATTTTTCTTATAATAGTTTTATCGATATTTTTATGAACCGCTTTAGTTAACTTCATAACTAAGACGACGTATTAAATAATAGCTTATGATAGTGTTAAACTTATTTATTAAAATAAATATGACAATAAATTAGAAATTTGATTTATTTTCATCGACACTTTCATGTAAAATCTTTAAGGGAAAATCAACGATTTGGTCCCTCAATTGTTAGCGAAATATCAATGTAGTCCCTTAATCGCGAAATCATCGATTTAGTCGCTGGAAATAACTGTTTTTAGTTGATTTGGCCCCTCCGACCATAGCCCGTTGAAAATCCGGCGATAGCTCCGATTTGGCATGGGTAATATAGTGATTTCGCATTTTGGTCTTCGTCTTATTGCCCTATTTAATTGCTTTAGTCTTCTTCTTCTTCAACTAAACTCCTCGAAGACACCTAATTAAACAGAGAGCAGATTTGAAGAGATTGAAGACTCCAAACAGAGAGCAGATTTGTACCGAATTACATAGTGTTTAATTTCGAAGAAACTCCGATTGCTTTCATGTCGTGCATGATATGAGCACTCACGATAGTATACTCCAATGGATTGAACATTGGGTGGCGGTGGAACAATTTCCAGCGGCGGTTAAGTCGCCGGAGATCGCAAAATCAGCGACAGCGTCAAGGAGGTTTCCAAAAGCTTCGATTGATGATCAGATGGGGGATTTGTTGTCAGATTCTGTCCGCTTTCTAGAAATCGCGCCTCAATGTTACGCAAATTCCAGATCTGAGAGCGATCGAGTAGATTTGTTGCGAAGGAGAAATCTGGAGGCAGAGGAGGGTCGAGGTAAGCCAACGGTGGGGTTTTCAGAAGCATAATGGGAGAAGATGGCAACAATTGATGAGAGGCTCACCTTAATCGGCCGTTTTGCGATAAACGAATTAATTGAGATTAAAACAATCCTATAATTAGTTTGGGTGAAGTAGCAGATAAAAGAAGAGAAGAAGAAGTAGAAGAATAATTTCCAAATCCAACGCACTCCGGCGAGGCGACGGCGGCATCCCGGAATGGCCGGTTCTTATCTCAGATATGTGGTTTTTGTATGCCCTGTTTAATTATTGATTATTGGATGTACAGATTTGTATTAGCAGTCTTGTTTTTGGTTCCTGATCTAAAATTTCAGAGTAGTCAGCTTGGGGATAGTAATATATATATTGGACTGTATATTTGTTTTTGCTACTATGCTCAAACAAATTCTTGCAAAAAATTCCTAGAAAATCATTGAAATATGATTCTCTGGACTCTTTGATGAGTGTAGTTCAACACCAGGTATTAAGAAGAAGACTAAAGACAAGAAAAGACCAAAATACCCATGGCAAATCGGAGTTCTCGCCAGCTGAACGACGGAATACGGCCGGAGGGACTAAATCAACTAAAAACAGTTATTTCCAGGGACTAAATCGATGAATAAGCAATTGAGGGACTACATTAATATTTCGCTAATAATTAAGGGACCAAATCGTTGATTTTCTCAATCTTTAATTATATATTTGTGGGGCATGCATCCAAATGACTATAAAGTGATAAATTAACCTTTAGTATTGCTGATAGTTAACCTTATAATTTGATAGTTACTATGTCAATAGGCTATAATAACTAACTTGGATTAGGCTATTGTGCCCCCATCATATTGTCATCTTGAATGTATAACTAAATGTAGGGTGCGTGAGTTTTGTGCTTAAGGTGCGTGAGATTTGTGCTTAAGGTGCATGAGTTTTGTGTTTAAGGTGTGTGAATTTGTGTTCTTAAGATGTTTTATTTGTGTGCTTAATGTGCATGTATTGTGTACTTAAAGTGCATCAGTTTAATGCTTAATGTGCGCCCACTCGTACAACCGCACGGGAAGCGCTCCCGTACATAATCCCTTCCCTATTAATGTGAATTATTTATTATAAGTATCGCATTGAGCGAAAAATGATAAAGGCCCTGTTTGGTAAAAAATTGGACTATAGGCCAATTTTGGCTTATTTGACCACTATTAATTGTTTAATTTAGTTAAAATATCAATATAAATGTTTGGTTAATTAGCTTTTTGCAACTCCAAAATGTTAAAATTAAAAAAGTTACTCCAAACAACTTTTTCAATTAGCTTTTTGAGAAAAGAAATTATACCAAACAGCTATCACTAACAGCTAATTTACCAAACACTTTTCTACAATCAGCTAATATTATCAACTATTTATACCATCTAATTAACACAATCAGCTAATAGCTACTAGCTATCAGCTAACAACCATTTTACCAAACAGGGCCAAAGTCTCTCTCTTTATTTATTTATTCTTTTTTTTTTTCCTTTTTTTGTGTCACGCATTTCCCAGACAGAAGCATGCTGGCCTTATTCTCACGAGTGTCCAATTGACAAGTATAACCTCATAATAGCTACTGCTAAATAATGTTCAATTGTTGGCACTAAGCTAAAAACAGAATTATTACGAAGCATAATCGTTAATTCTATTTACTAATTTATGAGAGTTTAACATGCATGTGAAGTGTTGGATATATCGTTGGTAAAATCCAATAATAATCTTATCAAAAAAATTATTATTTTATGGAAGAATCGTGAAGGAAAGAGTGAAGAGGTATGGTTCGGATTTGGTGTAGGTTGTTAGCACGAGTCGAACGAATTACTCTTTTCATAAAATCTTATTGGCTACCTCCCACAAGTGCTAGGAGCGTTGTAGCCTAAGTTTCCCAGGATAAAATGTGCTACGGTTCAACGTTTGAGCACCCAAACTTTGAACCCGGCGAACAAGAGCAAGACTTCGAACACAGTTAGGCTAAGAAAGGTGTTAGGAATATAGCGGAAAAATGCGGAAGCGAAGAATCGAAAATTAAGAATTATAGAAGTTAAATAATTGGGAAAATATATAAATGAAGAAAATTATATAAATGACAAATGAACCTAATATAAAATGGAAAAATATAGAAATATATATATATATATATATATATATATATATTATTTCTCAAGAATAAAGACAACAAATATATATATGTCTACGTGAGAGGTAATAAAAGAAGGAAGATAATGAATTCAAATTGATGCATGATTACAAAGGAATTCTAGCCTATTTATACATTTCAAGAAGATAAAAATGCGGCAAGTAGATGAGCTAAAAGTGGAGAAACGTGTAGGAACGTAGAAATGCATGCGAAACCAACGGAGTACGTGAATGATAGATGCATGGATTTTGAGCCACAAAGTTATTTTTCTAACAATCTCCACCTTTGATCAAATCCACTGTGGGAATTAGCAACTGGAACAACAGACTGAACTCAAGCGCTGCTTGAATTGAACTTAGCAATAGGAAGAGCCTCAGAATAGCAAGATGGATCACCATCAACTTCCTATGCAACTGAAAGACCATAAGCAACCATGTTGGTTTCATCATCACTAGCATACCTAGCAGGTTTTTTAATTGTCCTCCTAGGACGATCCATAGCAATGGAATACTCTCGTTGTGGCTCAACGAGAGGTGCGGTGCTAGTAGATGCATCACCTTTAGTATTACCATTAGCTGTAGTAACACTATCAATAGGCCTGATCTCAAACTCTACCTTCTCACCAGTACTCTGCGTCTCACCAGTACTGGGAGTTTTTCAGAAGAAAGTAGTGCATTTTCGTCAAAAGTGATATCTCGACTCAGAATGATTTTCTGAGAATCAGGAGACCATAGACGATACCCTTTTGATTCAGAAGCATAACCAAGGAAAATGCATTTGACAGCTCTCGGGTTTAATTTACCTGACCAAACTTCCTCTGGAATTTTGAAATCAAGAGATGAATGTGGAGATCTATTTACCAAATAGCAAGCAGTAGAAACGGCCTCGACCCAAAAGTCACGCCGCTTCCATAACCCAGCATTAGAGAGCATACAACGAGCTCTTTCCAATAGAGTCCTGTTCAAACGTTCGGCAACACCATTTTGCTGGGGTTTACCAGGCAAGGTCTTATGCCTGGCGATTCCATTCGCCGCACAAAAGCCATTGAAATCTGACTCACAGAACTCCAAGCCATTGTCTGTCCTGAGCTTCTTGACTTTTTTACCTGTCTGAGTCTCAACAAGTATTTTCCACTTCTTGAAAATAAAAAATGCCTGATTTTTGTGTTTCAGGAAATAGACCCAGACTTTACGAGAAAAGTCATCAATAATAGACATAAAATATCTACAGCCTCCCATAGACTGGAATTTAGTTGGTCCCCATAAATCGGAATGTATATATTCCAATACATCTTTGGTACGGTGTGTAGCAGTAGAGAAACTAACCCTCTTTTGTTTCCCAAAAACACAATGCTCACAAAATTGTAATTTACCCGTACGTGAACCACCAAGGAGGCCTTTCTTGTTCAGGAGATGCAAACCTTTTCTCACTCAAATGCCCCAGACGCATATGCCATAACTGAGTGAGATCCGCATCAGACATCGATGAGGATACCGCTACTGAACCTGTCACAGTACTGCCATGCAAGACGTACAAGCTTCCAGAACGAGAAGCTTTCATGAGAACAAGAGAGCCTTTTATGACTTTTAGAACTCCACCTTCAGCTCTGTACTTGCACCCCAGAGATTCCAAGGTGCCCAAGGATATCAGATTGCATTTCCAATCAGGAATATACCGAACATTGGTAAGAGTCCTGATAATATTATCATGAGTTTTAATCTGAACACTTCCAATTCCACTAACCTTGCATTGGGTATCATTACCCAGCAAGACAACATCACCATCAACCGGTTCCAGGGAGACGAACCAGTCTTTGTGAGGACACACGTGGAATGTACAACCAGAGTCCAGAATCCACTCGGTTTCGCTCCGTTTGCAACCGGAGCTGACAGATAACATAACATCGCTTTCTAAATCACTTTCAACAACACTAGCTTCAACGGACTTCTTTTCTCTATCTTGCTTGTTTTTCAGCTTGAAGCATTCAGTCACATCATGACCCTGCTTCTTGCAGTACTTACAGGATTTGTTGGACTTTCGTCCTTTGGACTTGGATCTAGAATTTTTATTGCTACTCTCTGTTTCAAGTGAACGACCCCTTACGGTCAAGCCTTCACCTTTGTCCTCAGACTTAATTTCAAAGTCAAACTTTTCTTTTGATAATAGGTTTGACTTAACACTGTCGAAAGTAAGGGTATCACTACTATTACCATACAGCATAATTTCTTTGAAATGCTTGTATGATTTAGGGAGAGAGACAAGCAATAAAACAGCGCGATCCTCATCTTCAATTATGACATCAATATTTTCCAAATCCAATAAAATAGAATTGAATTCATCCAAGTGAGATTTAATAGAAGTACCTTCCGTCATACGGATTGTGTACAGACGCTCCTTCAGGTGCAGCGTGCTCGCCAGAGTTTTGTCCATGTAAAGCATATCCGGCCAGCTTGGACCATAAATCTGACGCAGTCGTCTCACTTACTACCTCACGTAGAACCTCTTTAGATAGGCACAAAAGAATGGTTGAACGTGCCTTGTCATCCAAATCTTCCCAAGCTTCATCTGTCATTGTAGCCGGTTTCTTCTTCTTCCCAGCTAGCACTTTCTTCAAACCGTTCTGGGTTAGAACGGCTTCCATCTGAACCTTCCAGATAGAAAAGCTAATTTTCCCGTCGAACTTCTCGATATCGAACTTTGTAACAGTCGACATCTTTGAAAATAATTCTCAAATAAACCGCTTTGATACCACTTGTTAGGAATATAGCAGAAAAATGCGGAAACGAAGAATCGAAAATTGAGAATTATAGAAGTTAAATAATTGGGAAAATATATAAATGAAGAAAATTATATAAATGACAAATGAACCTAATATAAAATGGAAAAATATAGAAATATATATATATTATTTCTCAAGAATAAAGACAACAAATATATATATGTCTACGTGAGAGGTAATTAAAGAAGGAAGATAATGAATTCAAATTGATGCATGATTACAAAGGAATTCTAGCCTATTTATACATTTCAATAAGATAAAAATGCGGCAAGTAGATGAGCTAAAAGTGGAGAAACATGTAGGAACGTAAAAATGCATGCGAAACCAACGGAGTACGTGAATGATAGATGCATGGATTTTGAGCCACAAAGTTATTTTTCTAACAAAAGGAGTAGAAGCAGAGATTTTGGAGCTAGAAAACTATGGTTTCTTGTTATTGTAAATTTTGCTGCTCTTACCCCTTCTTATATAGGGTTGAAGGAGTTCAATAGCTTCATTATGACATTTAAAATTGGTATTAAAACCAATTGTCTAATACCTGAAACAGTCTGTCCATTACCAGAGATTTAAATCCGAAATTAAAAATTGAAATTAATTCTATAACAGACGAATTTATAATCTCACAAACGGTTTGGGCCATCAAGTCGCGAGTTCAAGGTTGAATCAAACCTTTTCAGTCTCATTTTGGAATTTGATTTGCACCTTCTGTACGCGAGAGAGAGCCCCTATGCTATACAATTCAATAAGCCTAAAAAAAGCTCATGTATGAATAGTGGTGCAAATCACTACCAAACCAATGTCGGACAAAAGCTACTCCCAAGCTTTTTCCTTTCACTTTTTCAACTCAAATGGGTCTACTTTGAGAATCAATATCTCATTCACCCATTATCCGTTTTTTCAACTCAAATGGGTCTATATGTTCCTTGTTCCTGTTCGCTAGTCGGGTCAGGGTCAGATGTCTGTTGGCTGTTGGGTTTCTTCTTCTCTTTGGATGTACGGTTAGGGAACGAAAAGACAAATCAGAGGTTCTGTATCGTGTCTTAGACACAGCCTTAAAAACATTCACGACCATGGATTGAGTCGTATGCTTTCGACCGGCAAAACAGAACGAACACGGGCAATTTGTATTATGTAAGCAGAGGGAAAGAAAATCAACAAAAGCTGTTCGAAACTGAAGAAGGAATTTCGAAGCAGTAGTTGCTGTCTCTGTTGCATTTTCTAACCTGCTGACATCCCTTATTTATACTACAAAGCAGCATAAAATTAGCATCAAACCACCTCTTATTACCCTACAAAGTAGCGCTAGAAACATGTAACAAGACTAACTCTGTACACTCCCTCATGGAGTGGTGCAGACAAGGTCATTACAAGATCCACGAAAATAGGGTAAGAAAAAGGAGATTTAGAGCAAAACGTTGACCCCATCCCACCCCACGCCGAGCCGGGCGGGTCGGGCGGCGGCGGCGGGGCACGCGTGGTCTACCTGTTTTTCCTTCTCATAACACTTCAAAGTAGATGAAAAGCCTTGGAGTATATAAGCAAGGAAATAAGAGGCTAAACTTCCAATGTGGGACAACTTGGATAGGCAAAAGGAAGCCTTTTCCCTTTAAATGCTCCAACAATCCCCCACCATTAAAGGGATTTAGGTTGATGCTGTCATTGCCTGACAACGATCAAAACAAATTTTCATGCCAGTGTATAAAACTTGAATTGTCATATAGTGACATTAAGTACATCTCTAAACGGGAGTGAATTTGATCTTGAACTCATCGAATAGACAAAGTTTGAACTTAACGCACTTAATTTGCTTTGGTCGCCTTGAAATATGTGAGGTCATACTCTTGACCCTGAGATATCCCCTGTTAGGTCTATTCTAGGATAGACCTTCAACTCTGTCAAGTCTACCTCAACGCAGACCACCATGACTGGCTACAGAGTATCCATGGGTCCCAAACCCATTTCCCTTGATGTATCAAGGACGGCCTTTCTGTTTAGGCCCTTTGTGAAAGGATCAGCAATATTCCTTTCAGATCTCACAAAGACCATTGTGATTACCCCATTTAGTATTAACTGCCGAACAGACTCATGTCTGACTCCTATGTGTCTTCGTTTCCCATTGTAGACACTGTTTTGCGCAACACAGATGGCAGTCTGGGAATCACAATGTATGGGAACGGCAGGTGCAGGGCACCCCCACAATGGCACGTCTGCCAATAAATTTCTCAGCCATTCGGCTTCCTGACTTGCTAGATCTAGTGCTATGAACTCTGACTCCATAGTTGATCTGGCTATACAGGATTGTTTGGTCGACTTCCATGATATTGCAGCTCCACACATAGTGAACATGTATCCACTAGTTGAGCTTACGTCATCAGCGTCATTCACCTAGTTGGCATCACAGAACCCCTCGAGCACAGCTGGGTGTCCTTTATAGTTAAGGCCCCAGTCCATCGTGCCTCTTAAGTACCGAAGTACCCTTCTCAGTGCATCCCAATGTGAGATACCAGGGTTGTGAGTATACCGACTGAGTTTATTCACAGCAAATGCAAGATCTGGTCTAGTATAGTTCATCAAGAACATTAGACTCCCAATGATCTTTGCATATTCTTCTTGAGACACACCGGCATCTATGTTCTTTGATAATTTGACGCTTGGATCATATGGGGTTTTAGCTGGAGTTACATCATAACTCTCAAACCTCTTCAGGAGTTTCTCCGTGTAATGACTTTGTTTAGAATGTGGTTAGCTGTTAGAACAGCTTCTCCCCACAATGAATCAGAGGCACCTGAACTGATTAGCATGGCGTTGATCATCTCTTTGAGAGTTCTATTCTTTCTTTCTGCTATGCCGTTTTGTTGGGGTGTGTAGGGTGCAGTTACTTCGTGTATAAT